CATCATGCTTTCTTGAAAGCTTAACTAAGGTATTCAAAATATCTTCCTCCCTTTTATTTACTATATGAAGAATATGTTATGCCCTATTCATGTTGGCTGTGTTATGTACTTATTGGATAAGTCACGCTTCGTAGATTAATTTTGTTTATTTGTTTACTTATTCAGACAGTATTACTGGTGTTTCCTAATCTATCTATTGTATTAGTAGATCAATTGTAATGTAAATATGAGTTACAGGTTGTTTATCGGTTTATTTGTTGATTTTAGTAACATGAGTGCTAGTTCTATTAGGAAGTAAATTGAATATGAGAAACGTGTTTTGTGATTAGCTAGAATACGTATTAAGCTTGTTTATCTGTTTAGAGACATATCATGTAATCTGTTGTTATATCTTTATTGTCTAAAGGGATGTGTTTGTGTTTACATTATATATTGGTTGTTTATGTGTTGCTGATGTGTTGTTACTGATAATCTCTAGCTGTTGCTTTTGGGTTCCTGACATCCTCTTAGGTCTTGCAAATTTTGAGTTTTGACTAGTTTACCAGTTGAGATTACTATATTACCAGGTTCCTTCTAATGTCTAGAAAGGTGTAAATCTGTATTGGCCTAGTTGAAAGCTAGGGGAGTTGATGTTGGATCCCTTGACCTTACTATGATTCAGATTTACTTTTGTTTTTTCTTTTCCTCAAAAGTTAATGGATAAAGTACTAATGTTATTATAGTATACTCTTCTCCTGGCAGCTTATTTCTAGAGCTTTATATGTTGCTCCAAGTGGGATGATATAGTTGTGTTTCTCTTTACTGTGTTTGTTGAGCTTGGGTTATATTATCTTTTTTCTCTAAATAATTATCAAAAAAGAAAATTTTTAGGAAAATAGTAAATCACAGAAAGAGTTTTTTTTTTTTTTATTATAGAACATGTTCTGATTTACAAAGATAATAATTAAGTATATATATACTCCTATTCTATTACAAAAAAAAATTTTCATATATGATATAATATAGTTCTTTAGAATACATAAGTTTTTCTTTTTGAATATACTTACTGAAAAATATATAACAATAACAAAAACAGATATGTCTATTAAAAAAATCACAATGTAAACTTCTATAATCAATATAGAAAAAGCTTAAAAAAATATAATAATCTTTTTATTAATTAAATGCTGAATAGTAATAGAATCAAAACTTTACACTAATGTTAAAAAATTGGACTTATTTATCAAATAATACAATAATATATTCCAGTCTAATATTATATTATAAAAAATAGACTTCAGAAATGAATAATAGATAAATAATCTCAACAATTCACAAACAATCCCTTTCTTTAGTATGATAGATCAATAGACTAAAATGTAGTTTAACTATATTGGATTAGTATAAAGCTAAACAATTAGATAATTATTGGATGAAAACAAAAAAAGATGAATAATCAAATTATAGAGTATAGATATTACAATAGAATTTATAATCAGTTCTTTTTATTTAAATGCATAGAGTGTAACATTAATAACTATAGTCAAAATACTTATCCTTGTACTTTCTTAATAAGTTAACAAAGTTCAATATACATCCTAGTTCACAATAACAGGATAACTAATTATTCATAACATCTTTAATATAAAGAAAAGTATATTTAATTATAAAGTATCTCTAAATTTAGTTTATAATATACTTAATATATTATATTATTATAGTATAAAATTAATCAATAGACAAATAATATTTTTATTCTAACAATACAGGATCTAATTAATTTTTTAAATAAGCTCTTTAACATAGATAATATTATAATAAATAAATTATTTGTGCTAATTATTAAAATTAAAGATAATATAATTTTTGCCATAAATATAGATGATTCTTTAAAAGAATAAAATCACAAATAACTTATAAATAAAGGATTTATAATTATAATATATTAGAAAAAAGAATTCACTTTTTAAAAATAAACAACACTATATTTATTTTTAATTAGAATAGAAATAATGGCAATACTAATAATATTAAGTATTTTTCTATAGTTTAACCATATAAAAATATACACAAATAACAATATTGTTATAAATAATATTAATAATATTCTGAATATAACTTTCAACAAAACTTTCTAAAAATAAAAAAACTTCAATCTTCTTTAATAAATTAAAGATATATAAAAAAAGAAAACCATAAAAATAAAACTTAATAAGGTAAAAATATATTCTGAAATAGAATACAATAAAGCAACAAATGAATTAACAAGAATTGATCTAGTATATAGTATGATTTTAAATAGTAGATTAATAGTTACACACTTTATAATCAATTCATAACTTATTCTCATTCTTTAATGAAATCATCAAATAATAGATATTTCAATTAAAACACTGATCAAATACATTATAAAAGTAATCTATCTGATAAAATAAAGACTTTTAAATCATATTATAAATAACTTCAATGATTTTATAATTAAGAAAATTCTTTAACCAGCAATTATAGATAACTCATGATCAATAAAAATTAACAAATTATCATATTAGCTAGTTTGATCAATGGTTGAAAAAATTTAAATTACAAATATGAAATGCAGAACTATTTATAAAAGCTAAACTATTTAATAGATCACTTAAGTTATACAAAAATAACAAATGTATTAAATATAATTAAAGGCAATCCAATACATATTCATTTGTTTATTAAATATATCAATATACAATAGACAACTTCTTTTATTGAGACTATAAAAGAAACAGTTATAAAATATAACAAATATAGTAAAACTAAAGACACACTTATATAGTATATAATAAATATTGCTCTATATTACAAACAATATATAGAAATCGTAATTTGTAAAGGTATTCTAAAAGAAACAATTAAAAGAATATAAGAATTAATTTTTAATTGAAACATAAAGAAAACATATCTTTAAGAACTTATCCAATAAATCATTAATTACTTATAGGAAATATAATACAATAGATGTAAAGAATTTCAAAACTAGAAAAAACAATAAGATATCATTAGAGTTATAGAGAATTTTCACAAATATAATACTATTTCTTTAGACTTATGATTAGAAAAATATATATATATATATAAAGAACAATTTATTAGTATAGTTAACAAGTATATTCATAATAATATTCAATTGATCACAATTTTTACTATCCATTGAAAATTTTGCATAGTACTAATCTAGTTTTGACAGGTTAGTTTTCAACAAATCATGAGATAAGTTTTTCTTATCAAGTTTTATTTAGTAAACAAAAGTAATTATAGCATAATCACATATAATTCTTTATTAAATTCAAATAAAACAAAGTTAAGTTGGCAAGTTTAAAAATAAAATAATAATAATAATAATTAATTTAAATTATTTTTTATTTGTATAAATTAATTTATTTTTAAATATATTATTTATTGTAAATCAATTTTCTTAAGAATTAATAATTTAATTTAATTAAAATTTTAATAAATCATAGATAGTTTAATATAGTAAATAAAATAGTTATTAGAATTAAATTAATAAACATTGTAAAAATAATATTTTTTTTAAAGAGCTCACATCTAATACCAGTTGTAATATAAAAAAAAAAAAAATATAAATAAAAAAATTTTTTTACTTATACTAAATTCTATAAATTTTAAAACTTTCTATAACATATGCACAATATAAATGTTTTTTATTTGATTGGTCGATAAATTTTTCGAATAAATAAACAGACATATGATTGATCCTATATAACCTTTGTTCTATTTAATTGTTAAATTTATAATTTCTGTTAAAGTATTGCAGAATCGATAAATTATAAACAATAAATGAAAAAATGCAGCCATGCAAAACATGATATCATGCAACCCGTCCAGCATCATGTGCCTCTCTGTGTTGACTTCACATATTTATCTTTTTACTTTATTTTGAACCGAGAACACACACCGCAACTATAATTCCATATTTTGGATCTTTCGACGTTCCATCAGGCATAACCGCAAATTCTCATTTCAAGCAAAGATATACCAATTCGTTGGGGTTTTATTTTTTTTTTAAAAAAAAAAAAAAGAAATATGAACACAGTATGTATAGCACCTCTTTTACTACTGTTGAATTGATGAGAAATCCTTTACTTTAAAAGGTATTTTTATCACCGCGTGATGGTTGGCTGCAAACAAAATTTACCTCACAAATATACTGGACATCTTACCTCATTCATTATAAAAAAAGCGTCTCTTGCAATTTTGGGTACAGTCTATGGTGCGCCAAGCGTGACACAACTACGGGGGTTCCTTTTTGCAAAAATTAAGTTTCTGAATTTGCAGGGGTCTCGATTGCCATTTCGAGGTTTACTTCACATGAATGTTGAAAATTCACGTAGAATTCCACTGAATAACCTATTGTGCCTCTATGCCAAACGAATTCTTTATTAAATTTTTTTCTCGCGCACTTCGCAAATCCTTGTTGCAAAAAAAGAATCGATTTGCATCCGCACTTACTTGCATTGATTGCATTATCGTTTTGGAAATAATCATGCAGACGACAAAGCAAGAGACATGCGATTAGGATAAATCACCCGCTTCGGTCATGCCATATAGTTGCAAATTGAATCAGAGAAGCGGTTTACGTAATCGAGCAATCAGGTCAAGTTGAATTCGAAATCGCATTAGCGCTTTAATGAAAACTCTCGTTCCACCTATCAACGTCAGCCCGTGAAGAAACCAGGCGTGGAAAATCTTTCATGCACCGATATTCGCATATATTATAATGAAATTCCCCACTTTGTGGGATTTTCAGTAATGATTTCTTATGGCCTTACTGCACTCGAATACTGTGTATGCATCGGAAATTACAGAGCATTATGTGGGATGCGCGCATGCTAATGTGATATTCCGGGTTATGCAACGAATTTCACAATCATCCGACTTTATTACGGAATTACGTGCGCGTATTTGTTTCGTTTCCACTGTATTCGACGAAAACAGTTTTCTCGTCTCGTTTAAATCGAGTCATACGTATGTATTTATCTCCATTCAACGTGACGGCAGGGGACATCGGTGGCGTGTCACAGCAATGCGTCAATAAATGTAACATGAGCAGTGAAAAAAAAAACCACAAAGCCTTCAATGTCGAAACGTCAAAGGTGTGAGTGACATTGTGGCGTATAAATGGAGGATGACAACGTCTAGCACAAATAACAAATAATCCAAATTGGGTGACTATCATCGTGTTAATATTATTCGCTGACGATAACAATAAATACAGTATCTGATGATCAAGACGGCAATTCATATTCTATTTACATTTTTACATATTTGGGGTGGCATTGTACATATTCGCATCGTGTTCTACTAAACAAGGAGAGTGCTAAGCGATTAAAAATTGTTCACGGGATCCTCGAGTTTTTGGCTTCATTTTCAACGTCTTCACGCTATCGTAAAATTGATAGTCGTTGGTACAGTGTGTACGACGACGGCGAACCTTTCACCACCGAGAATATTGTTAATAATAATTGGATCTTTCCATGCATAAAGACCTTTATTGTTTCTATAAGGAATCATGCAAGCTTATTGTTTCTTTATTTCATTATGACAAGTCGGGAGTAATACGCATGCCTTTTTTTTTGTTTTTTGTTTTTTTTTTTTTTTGTGGGATTCGAAATTTCGAAATTTGATTGTTGTGGATCCATGCCCACAGTGAAGAAGGGATCGGCGGCTAATAATAATTAGTTAAGATCGATGACTATGTACTGTATATTGATAATAATAGTTAAGATCGATGACTACTGTATTGATGATAATATAGATAAGTTTTTCATCGCTACGCTAACCTAATCTTTAAATAAATAAATAAATGAACAAATAAATAAATATCAAAGCATCGCCAATTTCAAAGCGATAACCTAACCTACTTTGATTGCGCATGGAAGGGAGAGAAGTTTGGGATATAACGAAAGAAAAAACCCCATAGCCGCTCATACCGTCAGGTCCATGTGATGATGGTTTTATGACAAGAAATTAAGGTTAGTGGGCGTAGCCAAGGATTGTAGTTTCAAAATCAAATTAGAACCATAATGACCGATGAATATAGTCGCAAATTCCACGTAGGTATCGATTTTGACCGAACCCAAAGTGAAAATACATGCTAAAATCAGGGTTCGTATTGTCGTCATTCGCACCGCCTCTTGTATGCTAAGTGCGTTGACGACAAAAATAACATATCACCTGAACCTTATTCACATCGTACGTATGCGTTCTACGTGTCGTAATGCGTAAATTGGTTACCTGTTGTTACTGTGTGATACACGGGTACGTAAACCATTTACCAGTACCGCTCATCTCTATTTATTATTATTTTTTTTTTCTCTTTATTTTAGTCACACCACATTAACTCCATTGCTGTTACAGGAAAAAATCATTATTACGTACAATGCATCATGCACGTAAGCTAATGTGCATTTACGACGCTACGTTACAGCGGTACGTAATTTCATTCTTTCACGACCTACACAGTATTAATATTGCTCTTCATTATTCGACTCGCAATGTGACATGAGGCAATTAATTCCATATGTGTCCTTCATTATCCATTTGTGTATGCACGGCCAGATTCGACAAAACCGTGTAATTTTTGTCGGAAATTTCCGAGAGGTTTTTCACGAATCTTATATACTCTTCGACGATCGACCGTAAAGAAAGGCGTAACTCCATTATCTCACGAAAAACCATTGTCCAATTGCGTGGCATGGTGGTGACAATTAATTTGCCATATGCGTAAATGAGATATCTCCGAGCATCTTCGTCCCTTTTCATTCGCCACTTTGTTGAATAAATGATCTCAGCACACCCGGGGATCGACAAATTACCTATCGAAACCGAATAAATATCACACATTACGTACAGTACAAACGTAACCCACCCAACGCCTGTAGCAATTCTTGTTTGTAGATTTTTTGTTTGTGTCAGTATTTGTTTCAATTCTAATATTTCCAATTTTATCCGCATATAAAAATTTATTACATACGCACCGACCTACGGCTATTTTTTACAATCCCTTTTTCCTCTCATCTTTTTTTCAGTCAAATTTTTTATCCTCTAATTCAAAATTCATAGGCGCTTAGTAGGAAAGAAAGGAATGCCCACACATGATAAAGAACTTTTATTACATACATTAAACGAGCGCATCTATAGTACCAAGGAACACCTATACATGCAACTAACCTATATATAGCGAAGAAAAAAAGCTAACATATCAACATATCAGCGGGAGTATATACTTCCGAATTCCTTAATCAAAAAATCAAAAATATATATTTAAAACTTTATCTCACCTAGAATTCGTATTTAGTTTCTAAAAAAAAAATAAAAAAAAAATTTTTTTTTTTTATTCAAAATTTTTTTATTTCTTTGAAGAGAGAGAAAAAAAAAGTGCGCTATCCTACCGACAAAACACAAAAATTATATAGAAATCTTGTAACATAAAATTAGATTCCGTCTCGGGAAACCGCAAAAAAAAAAAGAAGAAAAGAAATCACCAGGCCCCCATACCTTTTTGTAGATAGATAGAATTTAGACGTACATATCACCCAATCGAAGAAGAAAACATGACCGATACTCCAAAGAGGCGATCACCGATGGTACGGTAAACTTGACATTTGTTATCTCGAAACCCTGAATCTCGAGTTATTGACTAAAAAGGAAACCTCGTTATTCATTCATTCAATGTAGGCACGAACGGCATCACCAAGACCCACCAAGCCCTTATCAGGAAAAACATCACCTAAATCCACCACTCCCATATCGAAACAACGCACTCGCGATGCTTCCCTCTCCCTTCTGACCGGCAGGAAACGTGCCTCGCCGACTCCATCAGACAAGACCGACTCGGAATTTAGTCAATCGTCGTTGATGCTAATGTCCCCAGGCGAGGTGGCTGAGCAACAAGGATCTATCGAACAGGTCATAAAATCCATTGAGAAACGGCTCAAGGCAGAGCAGGATAAGATTGCCAGAACCATATTGGAGAAGCAACAACGTCAAACCGTATACAAACTCGAGAATCGCATGGATGCCCATTTGACCCCTTTTGTCATGATAAAGAAGGTTGGGAAGAGTGGAAGTGAGGGAGGCGCAAGGGGTGGCAATGAGGGGAGCGCAAAGAAAGATCCTTCGGTAAAAACAAGGACGCAATCTTCCATGACAAAACCATTAACACCAAAACGACCGCAGACTCCCCAGCCAAGTTCAAATAGCTTGAAGAGAGCAGCCACCATCTCATCCAAATCCCCATCTACCACCACCACCACCACCACCACCACCACCACCGCACAATCCCCTCAAGTTCCAACGAAACGAATATGCACATGTGGCGATCCAAATAGCGTTTGGTGTTTTGTGTGCGAGAGCAGGCGTTTCAAAAACGACTTCCCCAAGTGGACCAGCGGCAACAAAATGATTGATAACTTTATCAAGGAAATTCAATTATTCGCTGAATCCGAAGTGAACTATCTCGAGTGGATATCGTATGATCGATTTAAGGAGGTGAAATTTATTTGCAATGGTACGTACGCTTCGTTATCACTGGCGACGTGGTTGGACGGACCGAGGAACCTGTCGGACAAGCAAAATAAAAAGTTGAAGAGGGATTTCAGGAAAAAGGTCGTGTTGAGACAATTGTATGATTCGGAGAATATTTCAGAAGTTTACTTGAGTGAGGTTGGTCTCAGTTTCATTTGTTTTCGTTAAAATGTACGAAATCGTTACTTATTTCTAATCTCAACTTCTCCTTCACCCACATATCGAATACTCGTTTCATAGCTCAATAAGTACTATAAAAAGATCTCATGGAATAACAGTATAATGCCCGTCTATGGAGTCTCCAAGGATCCCAAGACTAAAAATTTTATAATAGTTTACGAGCACGCGGAACACGGTGATCTCAATAACTATCTTCAAGAGAATTCGGCGAATATGGGGTGGCCGCTGAAGCTGGCATTGGCCTGTGACATCTCGAAATCACTGAAAACCCTACACGGTTGCAACCTGATACACAAAGACATCCACAGTGGAAACATACTGATATTAAAGGACGGTTCAACGGCGCTAACCGATTTTGGATTATGTAAACACGTGGACGCCGAAAACAGGAAACTCGATGTTGGGCAGGTGGAGGGGGTGTTACCGTTCATTGCCCCCGAGGTAATAAGAGCCCAAAAGTATAGCAAACAATCGGACATTTATAGTTTCTCCATCGTGATGTGGGAAATAACAACGGGCGGGAAAAGGCCATTATGTGATCGATCGCATGATGTGGAGTTAGCATCGGAGATACTCGAGGGAAAACGACCAGATCCGGTGCCCGGCACGCCGCCGTGTTGGGTTGAGTTGATGGAACAATGTTGGAACGATGATCCGGACAAACGACCGGATGCTGACGCCGTGCACCGAACACTGTGCGATTGGTTAAAGAGGTTGGTGGAAACTCCAAAGTTACCGTATAAGGTCAACACGGAATTCGCGTTGGCCGAGAATTGGCGGTTACGCGGTCAACATCATTCAACCACGTCGCATCACGGTTCACGACAGGTTTCGGTGATGTCCGGTAATAATGGTGAAGAGGACAATGCGTCACCGGAAGTATCAGTGCAAGAGGGTGGTTCGGGTGAAGGTTCAACTACGACGACAGTCGTCGAGCCCGAAGGTGGGATCGAGGTTGATGTGCACATGGTGGAGGAAATTGAATCGGGAATGGAACCAGGAGAATTCCAGCACCCGGTGACATGTTACACCAGCCAACTGTTCGATTTCAGCGAATTGAAGATATTCACGTCAACGAAGACGTCGACCGTCAGCACGGAAGAACCCAGCGTCACTGAAAACAT